ATTATGAAAAATTCGTTTTTTAAATGATTTTTTTTCATAACATATAATTTTCGCATAAATATCAATTGAAAAAAATATAGGGAAGTGATCAGATATATCACTTTTAATAATGCCTTTTTTAAGCGAATTATTAAAAATATCGTTGGTTATAATGTTATCAATTAAGGAAGTTGTTGTTTGAGTAATTCTAGTTGGTTTGTTTATTAGAGGAACTGCTCCGTTTTCAAATAGGCCATTATAAAACCCATTAATGTCTTTTTTGACATGATACTCAAAGCAATTTAAATTCAGATCACCTAATATGTAAAGTAATTTTTTTTCATGGTTGCTTTTATTTATAACATCATCTTGTAAAAATGTACTAAAAGTTTTAATTTCGCCTGTAGGTGGGCGATAACAACAGCTTATCACAATGTTTTTAGTTTTATTGTTTAATATTTCAATTGTTAAAACCTCTTTATTGACATCAGAAATACTCATGTCATGCCTAATATAATACTGAAGGTTTTCTTTTACATAAATAATTAAACCACCGCCGCGTTTATTTGTTTTCCGTCCTAATGAAATCAAATTATAGCCCGGTATTTTAAATTTATTATCTAATCTTGAGTCATTAGAACTACACCAAGTTTCAGTTATGCATATTACACTAAAAAGAGTTAAATTTTCCTCAAAACTATTGCAAAGATTTTCAAAATTTTTTTTTAAACTTCTTATATTTATATGAACTGCATTAAATTTATCATGCTTGAGAAATTCTTTTATTTCATAACTATAGAAACAGCTGCAGTTGCTTTGTAAAGCACCTGTTTCGCTAAAAAAACTTTGATCCGGATCGGACTCTTGAGTATAAAATCATTGAATTGAAAAATATCAAAATTCTTTAAGTGACCCAGTGGGCACGGAAGTTAAAAAGACGTCTTTTAAACGTTTAAAATACGTCCAAAACAGTCAAAAGACGTTCAGAAAACGTCTAAAACGTGTATAAGACGTTTAAAAGACGTCCTTTTTTACTTCCGTGCCCACTGGGGATTTGAATCCATTTTAGTATTTAAAAACAATAAAAAATTTAAGATAAAATAATAACTCTAATATAAAAGAATTTCTTAATTGTCGCGCGTTACAAGTTTATTATATACAACTTTAGCATATTTACCTTTGGCTCTCAGATCTTTTGCTTCTTTAAATAACTGTTTTCGCAATTCCAAAGTTATTCCGCTGTAGTCTTCGTTTACGTAAAGCCGATCGTTCCACAATTTTAACTGAACATAGTTATCCAACGCAGTTTTTTTGTCTTTGTAATTTAAAAATTTTACTATTATGGTTCTGTTATACTTTTTTCCATCGCTATTTTTTTTCCCCGTCCTGTGCGCACGTTCAATTTCAACATTACCTTCAAAACCAAGTTTTGACTTTAAAACATTTTGAATCTTTTCTTCGCTTAATTCCCACGTTTCATTTTCGTCTTCCTCAATTCCTGTAAACCTTAGATTATTTCTTCTGCTTCTGTCTTCCAACTCAGCAAGTTTGTCTTTAACAACAACATTTGTTATATCATTCTGGCTTGATGTTGAGTTAGGCTTTTTTTTTTATTTCAGAAAGTTCTTGAACAATTGATTCATATTTCTCGCTAAGAAACTCTGCCGATTTCCTTAATTCACTAGTTTCTTTTTTTAGTTTTGAATTTTCTTCATGAAGATTTAATAGTTTGATTTCCTTTTTATCAAACTTCTCGTTAAATATTTTCAATAAAGTATTCTCATGAGTATCTAATAGATCTTTAATTTGAGAAACGGTAAATTTAGCCATTTTTAATTTAGTTTACAAAAGCACGTCCGTTCACGTCAAAAGTTTTCGCAAAAAAAAAAAAAAAAAAAAAAAATATATATATATATATATATATATATATATATATATATATATATATATATATATATATATATATATATATATATATATATATTGTTATACAATATATATATATATTGTTATACAATATATATATATATATATATATATATATATATATATATATATATATATATATATATATATATATATATAAAATTAAAATATACTATTGTTAATATATTTTTACATCTAAATATATTTTAAAATGGTTACATCTAAATATATTTTATTTTATGTTATTTTATTACATCCAAATATATTTATTATATTTTATTTTATTACATCTAAATATATTTTAAAATGGTTATATATATATATATATACATTGAATACTAATATCAGTAAACATTTTAAGAAAGATCAACAGTTCATCTATCTGAAAAAGTTAAAATTTAAAAATTTCTACGCTCAAAATTTTTTTAAAAACACTTTGAAAACGATAAACAAAACACACTAAAATAGCTATTGCTGCAGTGGCGGAACTACTGGACGCAGGAACCTGCGTTGCGGGGGGGGGGGGCCTACCAGCTACAGGGGGCCCTCATATAAAAAAAGTTATACTCTCAATAATATTTATACTATAAAACTCTTTTCCGCAAAAAAAAACATTCTTTTGCGGGGGGGGAGGGGGCCCAAATTTTGAAGTTCCGCCACTGTATTGCTGTAATTACATTTTATTCATTTTTAGAGGTTTTATATTTAATTTGAAACATTTTATCGTGTACAAGAAGTTACTTTTACTATTATTTCCTTTTAATAAACGGCTAAATGCATATTTAATTGCTAAGAATTAAAATAATAGCTCGTTGTCAATGAGAATTTTTTTTATATTCGTTATCCGTAGCCATTTTTAAAACTTTAAAAATATGCAAACTTTACTGCGCTTGCGTATAATAACTTTCCACTTATTTAGTAAGTCTGAACGACCGTGTAAGTAAGTAAGATACAGATAATATTGCTACTACCTTCACCTAAAAATTTTTTTTACCTCTAATAAAACAATTTAGTTCATTTTTTTTTATTAACATTAGTTAGAATTCATAAAATGTTTTGCAATAGATTACAAATTAGTAGTCAAAATATCTTAATCACAGAGGTGATTATGATCACGTTTTCCAATTTTTTGTTAAATTCAGAGACAGGTGTCTGCAGACAAGACTTTTTTAGTTCTTGATGTTCATTACTTTAGGATGCATTAACATTTAAGCAGCTCTGGTCAAAGATCAGCAAATTAAACCAGTGAATTCTTGTTGAGTGATATTATGCTGAAAAGATCAAAATGCTAAATAGCCCTTTAGTTCATCTTTTACATTATTCTTATCACTTTTATCTGAATCGTTATTAGATCAAACTTTAAACTCACTAATTTCATGATGAGAAATATTGAGATTATTATCCAGAGCAGTTGTGTTGGAAGACATTATCTGAAGTGTTCAACCCATATTTTTTGCAATTACTTTGAACGACTGTTTTGGGCAATGCGTCAATAGGCTGAGGAAAATAAAACCCAGTTTTACCTATGTAGTCATAGTTACAGGCCCCATCAATAACGATCTCCCCTTGAATGATTTCAGATAAATAAATAAATAAAAGTTAAAATAAAATAATTTTAACTACTTTTCGGATTTTTTTCTTTTAGTCCAATAGCTTATTACAAAAACCAAGATTACTAAATGTACAGGATGTGATATAATGAAAATTATATACTTGGATGAAAACATATATACATTTTTCTCTCCGTAAAATTTGCATCTACCTTAAAAACATTTTGCGCAAAGATTACCTTCGCCGGCGAGCCTTTAAAGATTCGCTTGTGGTTCGACAATGGCTAGCCAGTTCTGATACGTCAGCTAAGGCACTTAACTGGGTCACACGTGTTTTTTGCCGGACCTGGCTCGCCAGCTCTGGCCCATTAATATACTGCTGATTGGGTAGACCAATAAATATACATTGAAGTCTTGAGTCTTGAAACTTGAAAGGATTAAATAGCTCGAGCTGTTTCTTTAATACTTTAAAATCTTTAAAATCCACTGTTTTTTATTGATCTCATCATGCACTGTTCAATTACTAAATCAGGCTAAAGACCAGCCTAGTAGCAATTCGTGCATTTGATACAGTAGTAAACTGATTTACAGTACTGTTCATTAAGCTAACGGTATTCTGGATTAAGTTTATGCATAGATTGAAGAAATAGCCGAGCAATTTTGGCATAGTTTATATGTCCTGTAGAGGCAAATAAATCAGGCATAAGCTTTTTGGCTGCAAGATGTTCTTACCATTTCCTAGTTCTCTATGCCCTGATGAAAATTTTGATAACGCTAATGTATTCAAGATATAGTAAGATCTAATAGTTTTGCTGTTCTGGATAAACTTGAAAGCTGTAGTTTTAAATTTTCCACAAGATTTCTGATATTACTGCTACAATTTATGTCTTCCAAATCCAAATTTCCTTGGACCAGATCTTAATACATATTTTCTAGGGAAGAAGTGTCAACTTCACCTTTATGGACTTGTTTAAAAAGTAGATTCATCAAGACGGATTTAACTAAGAAGTGAGTTCTTAGTGCTCCAGCTACTGCTTTACCAGTTATTATATGCGTGACGGAGTTGTTTGCATAAATAAGTTCAAGTAATCTATTCAGCACTGATCCCTCCATGACCATACTAATACTTCCTTGAAAGCTCATTAATGTATGAAATCCTCTCAATAGAATAACTATATCCAATTGCTTTAATTTTGCAATTTCGTAAGCTTTTAAATATAAAGGCTGATCAAAGGTTACACTTGGAGTAGATAATTTTATTGATTTTGCTTGGTTCTGAATAAAAATTAGAGTAGAATAAAATGCAGTTTTTATCAGATGGGTTTAAATTAATGATAGGCGCCATGAATATACCATCCCGGAAAGGTTATTATATATATATATATATATATATATATATATATATATATATATATATATATATATATATATATATATATATATATATATATATATATATATATATATATATATATTGTATTTCATATACTATATAACATTTATGATAACAAATAATATTTTATTATTACAAATTATACTATACTATAAAAGTTGTTATATATATTACGTTATAGTAGTTATAATAAACATAAACAAAACGTCTTTTGATCTATTGATGCTCTGTCCGCTCAAGCTAGTTCGTTTACAAAACTCAAAACTTTTGGGTGAGGTCCAAATGCTTTTTTACCAGTTTTTCTTTTCATTTTAATTTCATTTTTCAGGATTCATTTTTGCGATACATCTAAATAATAATAATTAGATCAGATTAATAAATTATTATTTACAGTGAGAAAAAAAAAAGAAAAGAAAGTAATGTTGAAAAATTGTATGTAAAGCGAGCATGTAGAACATGCAGTTGCAGATAATCAGGATGTAGTGAAATAGAAAAAGGTATAGGTCAGAAGTAAATAAAATTAAAGAATACATTGCAGGTAATATAAAAAAGTTATAGATTTTTATAGATTTTTTTTAAACGAGTATGAAAGTATACGACCCTTATCATTGTACTTTCGTGTTTTTCGTGGCAAAGGAGGAGCATTTTTATCTAGAAAACTTTGAAAACATCTATCTAATTGTCCAGCATTGCAATGGAAGATTCAGATGCAGATACATTTAAAATTCAAGGTTGGTTTGAAACCGAAACCAAGGCATGAAACTAAGAAAAACTTTCAATAGTACACTCTTAATTAAAAGGTGTAAAATTACACCGTTTTGGTGTTAATATAACCTCAAACGGTGTTTTTTGAAACTTTTTCTAGCAAAAAGTGTAAATTTACACCGTTTTGATGTAATTATACACCTTAAAGTTTAATTTTTGATAAAACGGTGTGAAATAACACCTCTTTTTAATCACTACACCGTTTTAAAAAGTTTTAAAAATTAAATGTTGTGATTTTTTTTTTCTTTTACACCATTTAACAAAAACGGTGTAAAACGGTGTTAAGCTGTTTTACACCGTTTTACAACGTTTTTATTAAAAGGTGTAAAAGAAAAAAACATCACACACTCTTAATTAAAAGGTGTAAAATTACACCGTTTTGGTGTTAATATAACCTCAAACGGTGTATTTTGAAACTTTTTTAAGAAAAAGTCTAAATTTACACCGTTTTGGCCTAACTACTCAATTTTTACACCTTTTTGAAACGGTGTAGTGATTAAAAAAAGGTGTTATTTTTCACCGTTCTATTAAAAATTAAGCTTCAGAGTGAACACTTTTAATTGGTGGAGAAGAGGGACACGTGAATTTTTTCAAAGGTCATTGCAATATCTTTTTTATTTGATTTATAAACTAAACTAAACAAGTTTTTACGAATAAACCTTCTCTCTAGGCACCGGTTCAATCTCCTTAGGTTTCCAGCCATTTATAAGTAAGTATATAAATTTTTGCTTTTAGAGAAACCGTCCCACTAGGGTAAAGGGGAAAAAGTGTTAATAGAAGTGTAACAAATAAATTTAAAACAACATTTTAACACAAATTATTAAATAGAAAAAACATAAAATCACCTAATCGACATAAAAATGTTCAAGAGCTTTCACCTATCAAAATAATCAAGTTTTTATTTTTTTTAAATGAAATAACAGTATTTAGGCACCACTCCTAATTAGAAATTCCACTTATCCCGCGTCCCACTTCTCCCAACTTTTCCCTAAAGCTGTTTTACATCTTTTTACAAAGTTATAATTTCAATTTTACGCTGTTTTACAAAACGGTGTTTTTCATAAAACGGTGTGAGATTTATCAGATACACGGCGTAAAACTGTTAACACTGTAAAGCTGCTTACAAAACGGTGTCACAAAACAGAGAAAAAGGCTTTCGCAAATCTTTTTCAAATCTTTTTTTATTGAGCAACTTTATATAAAAGTGTTTCAGCATTAGATGGTGTAGAGTTGTTTTTGGCCAACAATTTTACACCAAAAACATAAACTTGTTAATAAACGTTGTTAGACGCATTTTAGTGTTTAACGTTTTATTGTGGCATGATTATTACCATATATATTGGGCAAATGTCTAAATCATATGAAAACATAGGTCTGAAAACTTGAAGAAAGTACTCTAATTTGATGTTAAAGTATAAAAATCCACATTAAAAGCGCTAATATGAGCCATCTTTTGTCACCCTGGTTTCTATCGACGCTTGCATTAAAAAAGCATTTTTTATTGATTTCCTGCTCCAACCAAATCCTCACCCAAATCATGTACATTTAATTGCCTCAATTCCTATTTGTCAGTAGATATATGTACATTTATTTACGCCAATCCCTATTTGTCAGTCGATGCATATACATCTGAAAACGACAGTAAAAACCGGGTCGTTAGTATAGAAATTAATTACCTAAATTTTGAAAACAGTGTTAAAAAGATGGTGGAATATTAGCGTTTTTAATGTAAACTTTTATACTTTAACATTAAATTAGAGTACTTTCGTCAAGTTTTCAGACCTATGTTTTTATATGATTTAGAATCAGTATAATGTACTCTATAAAAATCAATCATAAAAACAGGGGGACGGGGAGAGAAAGTCGAGTAGTGCCTATATATATATATACCATATAGTCTATATGGTGTACGTACTTAAAAAAGTGTTTATTAACATTTTACTATATTGCATGCAATAAATATTGGGCGAATGTCTTATTAGTAATAAGACATTTGCCTAATATATATAGTAATATGCCACAATATATATTACTAATAAGATATTTATTACAAATAAAACATTTGCCCAATATCTATAATATAGATATTGGGCAAACGTCTTATTTGTAATAAATATCTTATTAGTAATATATATTGTGGCATATTACTATATGTATTAGGCAAATGTCTTATTACTAATAAGACATTCGCCCAATATTTATTGCATGCAATATAGTAAAATGTTAATAAACACTTTTTTAACTACGTGCACATGCAAATTTGTGTTTAACAATGTTCACTTGAAAGAAATCCTTGTTATGTATAAAGTTATACAAAATTTACATTAATTTAAATATATATACATATATGTATTAGGGTGCATCAAACGCCCCATACTTTCAAATAATGATCTGTCCCTATTCTTAAAACTTTCTATTGGTACTCACAAGACACTGTTGAATTGTTAAATTTTTGTTAAATTTGAATGAGATTTAGGGGAGCCACCTTAAATCTGAAACTTGCGATGAGACCCTAAACAGAAGAAAAAAAGTTTTTCAAATGTATGTCTTCTCAAAAGAAGCAAAATTTTATAAAAAATTTTCAAAAACAAAAATTTTACATAATATTTATTATTATAAGTTTTATTGCATAAAAATTATTTTTTAGCAAAAAATTAAAAAAAGCCATTTTTTCATGGTTTTTGGACGAAATTTTTTTTTAAGGTAATTTTAACAAAAAATCATAACTATTTTTGAAATTTTTATAAAGTTTCGCTTCTTTTGAGACAAAACAACATTTTTCTTCTGTTTAGGGTGTCGTTGCAAGTTTCAGATTTAATGTGACCCCCCTAAATCTCATTCAATTTTGAAAAAATTTAACAGAGTGTCTCGTGAGAACCAACAGATGGTTTTAAGAATAGAGACAGATCAAATTTTGAAAGTCCATTTTGTTGCTTTGCGTTGAATAAATTCAACCAAAGCCAAATCAGCTTTTAAATAAGGAGCCCAAATGGACACTCCATATTCAAGATGTGGTCTTATAAATACTTTATATAATTTGAGAGCCATTTTTTCATCAATGAAAGTGAATGTTTTTTTCAGCATACCAAGAGTTTGTAAGTACTTAGAGACAACTGTTTGAATATGAGCGCTTCACTTGAGGTTAGATGTAAAAAAGACTCCTAAATCACGTTCAATCGCAAAAAAAATGTCAATAGCAAATTCAATATAACATCTAAATAAAATTGTAAATAAAGCTTGACTTATTACTAATAAGTCAAGTTTTATTTACTTATTATTAAGTTTTATTTAGATATTATTGAATTTGCGATTGACAGTTATATATTTGTAAATAAATGTAAATAAATAAAACTAATAATTTACTAATAAGTTATTATTAAATTATGTATTATTTATTTACAATGCTATAAAATCCTTTTCTTATGAATTAAATTAGTGTTTCTTTTATATACTATAAAAACACAACACTAAAAGTATGAACTTTAAAAAATTCAATTCGTAAGAAAAGATTTTTATACCATATAAACCCTATATAAAATAGGTACGCGGAAATAGCGATTTGCGGAACCGAATTTTGTGCTAAAACTCTGTGACTCTTTTTTTTGACTTATTTTTTGGTAGTGTAAGGCAAACGTATTTTTGAGGAGTTTTTTTTTAGAAACATATATACACATAGCATATTTTTGGAAAGAAGAAGAGTTAAGCTTGTTTTTTATAAGACTTTTATGTATGGTTATTGAATTTTTTTATGGATTATTTTGCTACTGAAAAATAGGTTGGTGTTCTCACATGAATTTGTAGTCGAAGAAATGTTGAGCCCTCTTTTTTTATTATTAAAAATGTTTTCTACATGCATTTTCTATGCACATGCATAGAAAATGCGTGTATTCACCAAAAAAGAAATATAAGCAAATAATTTAATCAGTGTAGAACTTTTGGTACTAATTTCTGTTTTTCTGTTGTTGCTTTTAGGCAAGCAAAGTACGGGGGCGGCTCAGGGGGCCAATTCTATAAGCAAAAACTATTACATTAATGTATTATTATTTTTTTTTTAAACTTATAATAAAATAGAAAAAATCGATAAAAAAGTTTTAGATTCTCTAACAGGCAAGTTTAATTTTTTTTTTTTTTAAAAAACTATTATCAACAACTATTTCTAGAACAAAAACAATACTGATAAATGTAAAACCTTAATCTTTTTCTAAGTAATAATAACATAAAGATTAATGCTTAAGATTAAAAATGTGGTACAGTTGATCATTTAGCGTTTATATATTCAGATTTTCACTCGCTTCCCTTTAATGAATATCGTAGTTCAATCATATCAAATGTATCCAACACAATGTCTGACAGAGTATCAGTTAACCATCTTACTATTTCCAAAACTTGTAGTACCTGGGGGAAGAATTTGAATGAGCTAAACTGTCATTTTCACCCTCTAGATATAATTGCCATTTCATGTTGTGAAGTCTTGAAATCACTAGAAATTGAACGTGGTGAATTGTTTGGGTATGATTGTATAGCAGTCAAAATTGTGTTAGCAATGAACAAGATGAGGTTTAAAGATGGCAAAGGTGATCTACAAGGTTTTTTTAAATTTTTTAGACAATAACAAACTCTCACGAGGTATTATTCCATGGTATTGTGGAAACCATTTGCACATTCTTTTCCATACTTGTTTCATTTTTATGAAACACTATACTGATTTTCCTCATTATCTTACCACTGTAACAGTAAAATGTTTCAGTTTACAACCAATTCTGCGAGAAGCATTTTGTAATGCAACTGCTATAAAACAAATAGGAGTGCTTGCGCTGTTTAGTAAACCTCTCAATGGACCATGGATGACTAAGTTTTATGTATCTGCAGATAATGCAAGTTTTGATCATGTCACTGGTATCCAGGTAGTAAAAAATGTTTTGAAAGAAATTACTAATTGCAAATCTAATTCAACTGTGTTATTTTGCAGCAAGATGGATTTTTTTGGAGCAATGCTTGAACCAAATATTTTAAAATCTATTACAAATTTATACCCTTTTGATGACCAACTTGTTGAAATGACTTCTGCTTGTCTTAATGCAGTTTAAGAAGTCTCGACTTGTCAATATAAGAGATAATTCTCCCTTTCAATTACAGCGGCACTCAAGACAGAGACAGCTAGTGCAAGGCTTCACAATATAGATAGCGAAGAGTTTATTAGTATGTTTAGTGATGCCAAAGGACGATGTCCTAATGCAACAATTTGTTATATATCTAGCAAGTTAAGATCCAAAACGAAAGGACAATAAAAAATCTCAATAATCTTGACGTTGTTTCCAGAGAAAAGGTAGTTAAGTGGTCTATTTACATGGCACATAAAAAAAGAATGAGAACTCGACTACTACATAATGAAATTTGAGTAGAGATTATTGGTAGACAGGTGTTTAAACGCCAAAAAATAAAAAGAAAGTTAGAGCGTAACCTATGCAAATTATCTACCAGCGAAATTATGAATTTATATAAAAACTTATCTGCTAAGCAACTTAATGATTTAGATGATGTTATGTGTGAAAGAATAGTCGGAAGAAAACTCTCTCAGGAATGGTATGTTGCTAACTATTCAAAGACAGTTATTTATGATGGGAGAGTAGAAAAAGTAAATAAGAGGCAACAGAATAGAGTTTAAATTATTTCTTACTGGAAACAATATGAAACTGATATTGAAGTTGTTGAATATAAGATGAAAAAAATATAGCTTGCTGTTGATGTTGTAACAGGAGAACTAATATTTTCTTAATTTGAATATGAAAATAATATACATGCATTACAAAAAGAGTACCGCAAGTTTTTTAGCTTACAAATATGGTACAGCAAGTGTTTTTCTTGCAAAAAGAGTACCGCAAGTTTTTTAGCTGCAAATTTTTTTGATAGACGGCTCTGGGTTACCTTCACGTGGTGTCTATAGTTAAAGATGATTCAATTTTTGTCATTAATGGAATTTAAAAATTAAATCATTCACGAAAAGCCAAGACAAAAATTAATTAAACTTTATATTTTAAAAGACTTGTTACTTTTGTGTTGTTTTTTTTAGGTTGGAGTAGGTAAATACGCATCTTGTAATGTGGTAAAATAGTTTTCATACTAATATCTCAGTTTAAAAGGCATTTTAACATTTTCTTTGAAATTCTCATTTGCAAAAAAATTTTAGGAGCGGACGGTGGGACGGAGTGGTATTTGCCCCATCCCATAAAGACAATTTATACACCACTAGTTACTACTTTTTTAAAGTGTTGATATTTATTTTTTTATTTTTTGTAGTAGAGTTAATCATTTTAGTAAAGATTGTAATATGTAAATAAATGAAATTTTTATAGGGTGTGTTAAACCTGCACCACAACCCAACACCCAACTTTAAGATAGACAAAATGGATACTCAGACGCATCTTGTAATGCGGTAAAATAGTTTTTTATATTATTTTTTCTCTGTTTAAAAAAGCATTTTAACAATTTTTGTAAAATTTTCATTGAAAAAATTTTTTTCAAAAGGGGGGCGGCATACACCCTCTTTCATAAAAGCAATTTATACACCAATAGTTAATATTTTTTTAAGTGTTGAAATATATTTTTTATTTTTTGTAATAGATTTAATCATTTTTTAGTAAAGATTGTAATATTTAAAAAAAGGAAATTTTTATAGGGTGTGTTAAACCTTCACCACAACCCAACACCCAACTTTGAGATCTGTAATATTTACAAATGATGTGGAATAAATAAAAAACAATTTGTTATATACAAATATTACCAATTTCTTGAAAAAAAAAACACTATTATGAAAAAAGAGTATAATTTTGTGAGGTGTAGGTGATAGATTAGCACTCCCTCTGACTCCCTCGACGCGCCCTTTACCTATAAACAACGTTGATATTATAGCATATTATTACATCTATGTTTTGATACCAAGTTATAGATGCTTGAATAAGAATTGGCAAAGCTATAACAATTTATGTGAAAAAAAAAATTTTTTTGACCACAATTTTATCAAGAAATCCATATATCGAAAATTTGCTACTAAAAACGCTATAACTTTTTATTGAATAGTCTGATTTTCATAATTTTTTCACCTTTAAAATACTGTATTTGAGGAGTTTCTAATTATATATAATATTAAAATATTTGATCAATGTAAAAAAATCAGTCTACGTACCTAATATAATATAGGAAACTAATTTTCAGAAGTACTTATCTTTAATAAATATTTATATCTATTTATAATAGCATTCTTAATCAGCACCTAAATTACAAATAAAATTTTGTGAATGCGCTTCTTTAAAAACATACAGCAGTTTAGATCCAGTAAAACAAATATAAATTTATTAAAATCTCTAACTTGAAATTAAAAACGTGTATAGATTCTCTTCGTTAATATCCCATAAAAAGATGTGATTATTTTAAAACTCTTAGAAGTATAGGTAAAAGACCGTAATTTATTTAAAACGGATAATTTCCGTAACAAAACAACGGAAAAAGTCTGATAATTACTACGGAGTTTTTTTACAGTGTAGCTGCATCTTTAAAGCATACAAAATTGGGTTTACCTTCAGTTTGGCTAATAATTATATTATGCTTGTATTTCTCTTCTGATTTTCTGTTTAAGTGCTTCATTGAATAAATCTCTTCAGAATTCACTAGCTCTTCCATTTTATTGTGCAATTCAGAAGTTGTCACAGGAACCATTTGACTCTCAAACCACCCACAAAGCCTTTCAAAGTTCTCTGCCATTGTTGAGTTTTCTTTGCAACCAGGCTTTTCTGTTTTACTCAAATTTGACCTGAAAATAGATTAGGATTTTTTTAAGAAGCATATGAAATATAAAAATACACATAACATAAAGTTCAGTCAGAATCGGTCAATGTGTTACTTTATGACGGAAAAATTACAAATCACTTTATTTACATTTTCTGTATTTGGTAATTGCATACTAGCAACATCACAAAATATAAACACATTGTTATTACGAATCAATACAAATATATTTGAATTAAAACATACTCCCTGTTAGTTGAAAATAGCTTGTAACATTCAAAGTGGTATATGGAATCACTCACAACCAGGTTAAAACAGCAGTTTAAACGAGATTTTACATCAAGTACCCATTTGCCTTTTCTTCCTTCACAAACCTTAAGGTGGTATACCCCTCAGAAATATCAAATTTTGAAAAAAAAATTTTGTTGTTTATTTTTATTTAAAATTTATTATAGAATCATATTTCAAAAACCATTTTTTAAAATTCAGTATATAACTTGAGGAAAACAAACTTTAATGATCCTTACATTTTTAAACGCCCTTGACAACCCCCATAGCAACGCATTAACAATTTTCATTTGGCCAAGAAATTCTCCTCAAACATGATTTTTAAAGCTTCTTGAAATGAGTTTATAATTTATTTCTATTTTCCATTGATCAAAACATCTGTAAGATTAAAAGCATTAACTGGATTTCTCATAAATTTCTTCCAGAAGTTTCTTTAAAACGAATTGTCATCTTAAAGTTATATAAATCTATGCATCTGTTTATGTTTATATAAATTAAAACGTGTACTTTTAATGGGTAGAGAACGTGAGAAATTCGCTACTCAATACAAAAAGAAAAAAAGATTTCATGGAAATCAATATACTTTAAATAAAACAAATTCAGCAAATTCAAGTCTTCTACCTTCTACAGATTCACAGAGCTCAATAAATATATCTTATTCCAAGGTAAACCCTATTAATACTTCTGCAAGTTCTAATAAAAAAAACATATGTGGATACAGAATAATTGATAGCACTTTATTAGCCGTTGTTATTCAGTTGTTATGTTGTCCAGAATGTAAAACTTGTCGACTTAATTTATCTGAAAACGCAAAAAAAAAATTTGGACTTACCAGCTCATTGATTATATTCTGTTTATATTCTGTTGTTTATATTCTGTTTATATTCTGTTTATATTCTGTTTATATTCTGTTTATATTCTGTTTATATTTTGTTGTATATACTCTGTTTATATTTTGTTTATATTCTGTTTATATGTTTATATTCTGTTATATATATGTCTATATTACCAGCTCATTGACTATATTCTGTAAATGTGGATTCAATCATGAATTTTTTACATCCAAGAAGTGTGGTTCTGAAAGTAGTAGAGCTTTTGATATCAACCAAAGGTCAGTTTATGCTATGCGTTCATGTGGGCAAGGCCATACTGGCCTTAAAAGATTCTGTTATCTTATGGATCTTTCACCGCCAATGACTAAAAATACTTACATTAAAATTGTTCAAAAAATTGCTATTCAAGTTGAAGCAATCGCAGTAGAAACCATGTCTGATGCTGCACTTGAAATTATAAAAGCCTCCCAACATACTACTGATGAATCCAATTTAATAAATACCAGTGTTTCTTGTGACGGTACCTGGCGACGTCGAGGTTTTTCCTCATACAATGGTGTTTATACTGCAATATCTATGATTACAGGAAAAGTTTTGGATTGTGAAGTATTATCCAAATATTGCAAACAATGTTTTTTAATTACAAAGAAAAAAAATACAGACCCTGATGCATATAAAATCCTAAAAAATACTCATTTTTGTAACCTCAACTATACTGGCCCATCCACCGGTATGGAGGTCGCTGGAGCAAAATCAATTTTTGAACGATCTATTGAAAAGTATAAACTTTGCTATACTGAATTTTGTGGTGACGGAGATAGTAAAGCATTTTCATCTGTTGAAAGAGTATATGGTGATACACTAGTTTCAAAATTAGAATGTGTTGGTCATGTGCAAAAAAGAGTTGGCACACGATTAAAAAAATTGAAAAAAGAAAGTCGTCTAGGTGGTAAAGGAAGACTTACTGATGCTACAATTGACAGATTGCAAAACTATTATGGAATTGCAGTTAGAACCAAAAATTAGTCTGTTAATGAAATGCGCAGTGCAATACTTGCTTCATTGTTTCATGTTGCTTCCTCAAAAGAAAATAACTATCACATCTATTGTCCAAACGATGAAAAAAGTTGGTGCCAGCACAATGTTGATCGAAAACATCCCAATCAACCATCTCTCTATAAACCTGGCCCTGGTTTGCCACGTGATGTTATTGAGTTACTAAAGCCAATTTATAAAGAACTTAGCTCTAATGAATTGCTTGCAAAATGTATGCATGGAAAAACTCAGAACCAAAATGAGAGCCTTAACATGATGATATGGGAACGAGTTCCAAAAACTAAATTCTGTTCATTGTTACATTTGAAATTTGCAACATATGATGCTATTGCAAACTTTAATATTGGAAGAAAAGCATCAGTGATGACTTATGAAAATCTCAATATGATTCCAGGAACATTTACGATAGATGGCTGCAATAGAGAAAATAAAATGCGTTTGTATCAATCGTCATACAAAAATAAATCTGATGTAAAGTTGCGGAGAAAAACAATCAGGGGCAATAAAAAGAACAAAAATGATAGGGAAAAGCAAAAACAAGGCACTCTTTATGCTGCTGGTAGCTTTTAAACAATTTGCTCTAAAATTTACAAACATTGTTTATTTTTATAATATTTTTTTGGATGTTTTTCTCTTTTTTAATTTTTAAAGTCTTTAATTGCTAACTTCTATTTTTCAATCTCCCGTCACAGTTATTTGATTTTCTAGTAATCAGTTTTTAACCAAATTTTCAGCAGTGATGTGTTTTTATATGATGTATGCAATCTGCCAAAAGTTAATTATAAAACATTTCAGATTTTGAGATATTGCTGTTTCAGCACTAAAAAATTGCTTATTTAAAAATCTTCATAATCCATGTAGTGCTACATGGAAACTAATAGTCAGATTTAAAAACTTTTGGCAGATTGCATAGATCAAACTGTTTTTTATAATTGGGCCAAGTTTTACTTTAAATACTCGATTAGATTTTGAGATATTTTTGACAGTGCGATGTGCATATTTTCTTATATCCGCCATTATAGGTGGTTGTCATGACAACATAACCACCTGTTATTTTATAAATCAATTTCGTTTAATAAGATCTTTCATAGGCTTAATTTTTATTTTGACTATAATATTTCGATTCCAAGATAATTTTGAAGGGGGTATACCACCTTAAGCATACTTTGTTTCAATTTTATTGTGTACACTTGTATTACGGCTTTACAATCACAATTTTTAGGATCGGTTAATGCCAGGTTGTCTCAAATGAAGCAGCGTTGCTTCCAGTCGAATGTGTCAGTCTAAATTATAAATAAATTTTGTCAAACATGGCTAATGTTTCGCTTATTAAAAACAGTTGAAAAAACATAAAAGATCAGAATAACTGTTTTTTTAGCAAAAAAATCATTCTCCTACATACATAAATATTATTGAGAGTATGGTACAATAACACAAGCACAAGATTAAGTAAATAAAAAAATAATTTACAGAATGCAATCTTTTAATTTACAGAATGCAATCTTTTATTTTTAGGGTTTTCCGATTGATATTATAACACTTTTCTTTTTGGGTTTGTATAATCATGCCTGCATGCCACATAAACTTCATCGTCTCCTTTTCCTTCAGTTCTTCTTAAAGATTTTATTGTTGCGTACATTTGAATAATGAATTAAGGTATTAATACCTTTCTTTTCCATATTAATGACTTAATCAGCAGGTTCACGTTCTTTGCAAAGCCCCACAAGTTTTTTTAAATGTGCTCAAAATGTTATATTTTTATTTTAACTATATTTATTAAAATATTTAAAATTAAAACATCATTAAAAAATGATAGTTAGTAACTTCAACTTACGGCTCTACATTTTACAAAGTGCACAAAATATATTAGTTGAAAAAAAAAATTTTCGCGCATTTTGCGCATGCTTTGGTTTTAAAGTAAAAAATGCTGATGTCAGCGTTTTTTAAAGTAATTAACATTTTTTAATTTTTATAATTTGTACACATTAAACTAAATTTGTCCGAAACTTATTGGAATTGCATCATTTTTTAGCGAGTTATTACATCTTTTTGGCAGTAGACTCTTCGAATTTTTGTTTTATTTTTGTGAAAACTTTCTACAGTGCACGGTGATTTAAGCCTGATATTTTATTGTGAGCATGCGCACATTTGTTTTTTTTTTTAATTACGGAAAAAAATGGCGAAGTAGTTTTTATCTAAATAACTAAAATTCGTTGATTTAGTATTTTATTAAACAATTACTTATTCCTCGTGTAAAAACCTGAACTATATATTTTTAAAGTCTTACATTCTAGAAGGTTTTAAGTAAATCATAAAAATAAATAAGAATCTTTGTAAACAAAGAAAATTTTAATGAGCAAAATGTTAGGTTTTTTAGATAAAAAAAATAAAATATCTGTTAGCTAACTAGAGGGATATCTTTTGTTTGAAAATTTTTTGACTAAAAAGTTCAATTGTTTTAAATTCTATAAATCATGCCTAAAAATTCTATGCCTTTCGTTTTAACCTGTCATTTTTTTAAAAAAAGTTAACTGCATTTAACGGCAGGCTGGTAACATTTTTTGCGTAGTTTTTTTAGCTTTTTAATGGAAGAATTTTCTACTCTGAAAGCCTTACATAAAGTTCAAGTTTAACCTTAAACTTACAATGCGTGCACGTTTTAAATCAAGAATATTATAATGTGTTTACCAGAACACTCTGATACTCAGAACAAAGTTGAATGTGTGTATATGTATGTGTATATATATATATATATATATTATATACACACATAAAAATCAAAAAAATTTTTTCTTTTTAATTTCTGGCTTCATTGCTTTAGCTTTTGGATGGTTTCTTACATAATGTTCTTTCACCATGCTTTTCAAGCGGCTACAACCTTTCATATGACAAAACAAACGATTAAGATTGTTAAATTCAGCATGCAAACTTTCTCCGCCTTGTTCTCCATAAACTCCAATGCCTAATCCCCATTTTTGAATAAATTGAAGAACATGTGTTTCAAGCAAATGCATCTTTGGAGTTACAGATGCATTTGGCCAAGTTGATCTATAAAATTCCATAAGATTACAGATTGCTGATTCTAAAATTAAATAGTTTACATGTTTAAAAAAAAAGCCTAATTGAATTTCTTTAAATAAATTCCTCAAATTCTAACTAAAAAAAGCAATCAATTAATGTTTTTCAAAATAACTATTATGGCATTAAAGAATATGCTAACTTCAACTACAGTTTGCGTAAAACGATTTTAAATACCTACCAAGTTCCTGAACATCATTTTCTTGAAATGATTGTGAGCTGTTCATCAAGTTATGACATTTGGAATAATATTGAAACAACTGTTTAAATTTTTGGCTCACATTAACTGAGAGTAAATGAACGTCTGTATCAATAAAACCAAGATTTGAAATCAGTTTTGGAATAGAGTTGCACAAATCTAGCAAAGGTTGAGGCTAAATTAAATATAAGTAAAATTAAATAATTTTGAAATATTTTTATTAACAAAACGCAGGGGTGGCCGATGTGTTCAAAGCAGTCTGAACAAAAAATTAAAAAAAAAAAAAGATTTTATCTGATCGATATAACCAACCCACCAGGTTAGGATATTTAATATAAAACATCTGTAAAAAAACCTTAAGCATTGTGTGAACATGGTTTCCAACAAAGCATTTCCCATGATAAGCCTGTCTTTGTACCTGATTAGCCTTTAAAATTTCATCAAGTTGCTGAATGCAGGGACCTGAAATTTTATCAAGAATGTTTGCTTCATTTAATGAATTTAGTTCTTTCATCTAGAAAAATATTTTTCTTGTTAAATATATGCTACAGAAACTGTAGGTAATTGTATTGTAAATTTTTGAAATTGATATATTTTTGGCTTTCTAAAATTATGTTAAATATAATTCTAACTAAAGTCTAAATTAAATTCATATTTTTTTTGTAAATAATAAATACCTTATCAGTTTTTTTTAAATTTTCCTTATTTCTTCTGTTCTGTCTGGTTCACATAAAACTTTTAATGAAATTGTGTCTTGTAAAAGTGTAATTTTATTATCACAGTCCTCAATAACACTTTTTATAAGATTTGATTGAATATGCATATTAATGTATTTGTCAAAATCATCTTTACCAATTGTATTATTTTTTAGTGCAAGCTCTCCAGCAAGTTTGATATCTAACAAGTGACATTCATCTTCAAACATGTTAAAAAACTTCAAATAGGTTCCTAAAGATATATGTAAAGCAGGTACTGCTACCTAAAAATAAAATTAAACACTATTAAAAACACTTAAAGCCATACAAATCCTCAAAATAAAACTAAAATACAGTGCTAAAAATAAATTACCTGGTCTAGAGGAATGTGAAACAAAGTTTCATTAATCACATTATTAAAAAACTTAGCCTTTTTCAAATTTCCTCCACTACTTTGGAATCGATTAAAATCAATGTTTAAAGATTTTAGAGATCGTTGTGAAACACCATTCTCTCTACTAATTGGAGCCAACTGGATACTTTCTTTGGTTATATCACAAAAAAGACAGCAATGTCGACCTATAATACCATAAGTAACAGTATTGAATGGAGTTAAACAATTATATCTTTAAAACTTTAATTTTTCAATCTTACAAAAGTTTTTACTTATGATAACTAAAAAAAAATTATCATCAAATAACATAAAATTTCTTTAAGTACAGCAAACCTACCACTCGCTCCTGTGATTCCATATACACTGCAAAGGAAATCATAATCTCCAAATATAAAAACACGAACATTATGATTTCTAAAAACAATTAAAATATATTAAATTAACACAAAATATTTGAATTTTATTTAAATTATCAATGCTTATTTCTTTAGAAATAGTAACTTACTGCCATATCATTTTTTGTATCTCATCAACTTGTAATGTATATCGAGATAACCCTACTTTAAGATTAGTTCGGTAGTCTCTTGCTTCAAATGTACTGAATACAATACTATTTGATTTTGAGTTTGGTTGGTCTTGGTTTACAATTTGGTAACTCATTTTAAATGAACCACCTCCATGGTCTCCTCCAATTTTTATGTGTATTTCATCATTTTTTATTCCATCATGTTTTATTAACTTAAAACTAATAAATTTAAATAAAATAAAAATATAACATAAAAAAATACAGCTTAAATAGTTTTTTACAATAGTTTATATTTAGATTTTTAAGTAACAAATTTGTACAAATATCCATACCTTTCAAGAATATCTAACAGGTTTTTAATATTAGTGGTGTCTATGTATGCCCAGGGAGCATGTTTGATTTCAAAAACTGACTTATTATTTTCATTTTGAAATGTAAAATCTCCATTTAATACAACAAGATCATTTCCTGCCCAGGTATTTGCAACTACTCTTTGTTTAAAGTTTGAAGCAGTCTTAATATTTCTTGAGTTTAACCATCTACAATATTTAGTAAATAACACTTATTCATTTTTTTCACTAAATTATTTTTCATACTGCTTACTTATATATGCATTATTATGTAAATTAATAAAAGCATGCATTTTTAAATATACACCTACATTCACTTAAATAATAAATCAATTAACATTAATCTCTAAATAATTAACACTAATAAATAAACTAACCAATAAATATTTAAAAAAATAATTTTACCTAGTCATAGTTTTTAATTTATTTCACGGTACCCCTACATTTGCTAATATGACTTGACTTATCAACTTTAAATAAATCATCAACTATTGTGCTGGAATTATTTAATAAATGATCTTTTTTGCACTCATGATTTTCATACTTGTCTTTAATAAAGTTTTTTTCGCAAATCTTGCATGCAATATACAAATGTTCAATCATCTCCAATACATGAACAGAACTACAAAGGCTATTAATCATAATGCAGGTTAAACAAACAGGACATCTTGCTTCATTTTCTAGCTTACCTTTAATAATTGATATAATACATTGACTACAAAACGAGTGCTGACAATCTTTGATCATGACTGGTTGATGCATTATCCTCCCACAAACTTTACAAATACATAATGTTATATGTGGGTTTAGCTGAATATTGAATTCAGAAATTTCTTTTTTGTTTAAAGGTAAGGGCAAGGATTCAAGAAACAAGTTTATATTTAGTTGTGTCCATCTTTTAAAAACTCCTAGCCGTCCAACATTTGGAGATGGTTTTCAACCAACCTTACCATAAATACACATACACTCCTTTGTTGGACATTTTAACCAAATTTTTGGTTTAATCTTAGATAGTTTATTTCCTCGTGTTTCAATATTCTTCATAGTTGAATAACATTTTAGGCACATTTGTGGTGGATGAACCTCTACACAATCTTCTTTAGTATTTATTTTAAAAACATTAAATATTCTTTCAGTCCTACTGGCAGTTGTTAGAGAGTCTTTTCCTGTTAAATTTCCACAAATTCTGCAAACTCTTAATAACTTTTGTTGATGTTTTTCAGTCATCTTCTAAATAAAATTTTTGAAAAGTTTTTAGCTAAATAATGAAATAACATATTATAAAAAAATGACAGGTTATAGAAGTCAATATTTTTTGAATATCAATGAATAATACTTTTATTAAAAACTAATCCACATGTCATAAAAATTTTGCTTCGTCCATAATTGAAATGTATATAAAGTGTTATTTTAAACAATATTACTCTTTTCTGTTTTAACTATTGTAGTAAATGTTCAAACATAAATTTCACTCAGATTTTTTGCACAAAACAGCTCAAGTATATAAAATACTATTACATTTGTCTAATTATTAAAAACCTCATAAAAATTGGATTTAAAATGGAAACAATGTTGTAAGGTATTTATTTGTTTTTAACACGATAAATACAAAGTTTAATATTGAATATTTTTATCAAACGCATGCGTATAATAAAATCTCAAGCTTGCATGAGTACTGAATCACCG